AGATAAATAGAATTATGCAGGATAGAGAAAGAGAATTATAGATAGGAGATATATATTGGATAGAAGAAAAATTTTGGAAATGTTAAAGATAGGAGAATACAAGGTAAGCATAAGTATAGGATAAGAAGATGAATTGTATAGAAAAAATAGAAAATTGTATAGAGAAAAAATAGAAATATTTAAAAGAGTTATGTAGGATAAAAAATAGGAATAGGAATAAGAAAGACAGTATAAGCACGACGATTCTGGTAGGTAAATGATTTCGATTTTTTAAAGGTCAAAAGTAAAATTAATAGATGGATGAGTGTGGATACAAAAAATTGTAAACCAAATCCCTTCTGTGGCTTTGCTAGAAGTAATACAGATTTTTTTTTTAATTAGGTTCTAATTAGGTTCACATTGTTCTTCAATTTTCAGTTCATCATCTTCGTCGCTCTGATTATCAGATTATTCAATTATTCTATTATTCAGTTTCTTTTTTTCCTTATCTTTTTTTGTATTGTCCTGACTCTGGTTGTTGATATTGTTGTGCTCCTATAATAATTTTTAAAAATATTTTAAACGATTTCCCATGCAATAATGTTTTTAATATAATATATCTTTAATATTATTTACTCATTTTTTCTTTCTTTTTGGTCGATCACTGTCCTCACTGCTGAAACTGTCATCACTAGCTGAAATGAACATTTTAAACAATATTTAAAACAAATATTTAAATAACTTTTTTAAGTTTTATTTAAAAATTGTAATTGAATGTTAAGAAGTATAACTCAAGTACGACTAACTCTCAGTTTGCAGAACGCGACATGTATATAAATTTACAAAAAAATATTATTTAAAAAATCCTAAAATAAGAATTACCAACATTACAGATTTAAATTTTCTTCAAATTGGCTTCACAGAATTGAAAAAATTAATATTAAAATAGAAAACAATTTTTAAATGATAATACATGTATAATTTTTTTATTTTTTTCTATTCTTAAACTGGTAAGTATAGTCGCAATACCATTCAAAAGTTAGGTCCCATCGCGCTCAATGGCGCCGATACCTCCATTCTCGCCAGTGAGAAAAAACTTTTGGTTGCGCTATCCATAGGCCGCTCGCACACGCAAAAAAAAATTAAATACAGATAAAAGAAGATTAACAAGGTCGATTAACTGGCCGCTTTCTTTATGTGCCAAACAAAATCGAAAATTGCCTTTTTTTCATGGCTCTACTTTTCCAAACTCTACATTCCAAACGATAAAAATTATAACAAATTTTCACAATACCCGTTTGATGTTCCTCCATTATACATGCTCGTTTTTTATTAACATATCATTACTAATTTATGCTTTATAAAATAAAAACGCGACATTTTCAGGAATTTTTATGGGCGACACGTATAAAAAGTACAGTTTTTAATTGCTTATAGGTGTCTCAGTATTGAAATGGCCTAATCTCATTGTAATTTACAAGCGTGTTAATGTCTTCTAGTACAATTATGTATAATTTCAATGCAACTCGCGTAAATAGACCCGGTCCGGTCTCGCGCGTACTCTTCGAGCGCCGGGACACAACCGTGTCTTTTGATTTAAAGAAATTCTGCTTGTTCTGTACTATACCTTAAGTTGAGTATCCCGCGATTTATATTAAAAGTATATTTTAAAAGAATATTGTACTATAAATGTGTTTTCAATTCTTTATAAAAGCTAAGCGAAGAAAATTTGACAAATGTCGATAATTCCCGTCAATCCAGGATTCTGTTAAACACTAAAGCTTATTGTTAGACAAATAAGGCATTTTTTTACTCATTTGTGTTGTTCGTATATTAGTTTAATGTTATTTATTGTTGTTTAACTGAATTAAATAAAAATTCAAATAAGTGAATTAAATAACTTAGATATAAATTACAATATTTCAAAAATTTTATATAATCAATTTTTATAATTATTTAAATTAAAAATAATACTCCTGTAAATTAAATGATAATCTTGTTTGAGATAATTAAAACTTTCAAATAAAAACTTAATTATTTTTTGATAAAATTTATTACAAGATGTTTGTACGAAACTCATTGAGATGACGTGTAGATTCATGTAAAAGCAATCAA